CCCTTCGTTATAATACCTCAAAAACAAATGCTTCTAATAGAGCAACAGATCAGTATACCTGGAAATAGAAAATCCTTCTCATAATGGATACGCAAGAGTTTCATGTCACCGATTCTCTAGCTGTGAGTATATTATGACATTTATTATCACCTACAGAGTGTCATCATATTAATCTAAAACGGTCCTGGGGGATCATATCTTGGATAATTTCAGAGAAAGAAAACTTCGATATAAAACCGAAATGTCCATGGAGTCCTGTTGTTAAACTCAAAAAACATGTCTAGAGCTAGTCGGTCGAGCGCTCCTTTATTCTTAGTGTGTCGAGATCTTCACAGTTCTACTGATCTTAGGCAACTCAAAAATCGGGTTAATAAGGTGTCACTAACCTTCATATTGCCGGTGCTCCGGTAGTTAGGTTTCTGTCTACGCGATTGCTAAAGTATAAAAAAAACTAAATTCTATGCACTAGTCATACCTGCACATATGCGAAGTACTTAACCTATAATTTATATTGGCACATACCTTGATAAGAGCTTACTTTATATAAATAATAAGCTAATAAGCACTGAAAGCACAAGGTATCGTGTGGAAATAGGCCACAAGGCTGACGTTATTGAGTCACTTTGATATTTACTTCTCACGTGTTCACCGCTTTAGAAGCTCAAGAAATTTAGCACTCCGAGCACAGTATGTGGTTTCGCGTACTGTCTTGGAATATGCTTATTTTTGACCTTCTCAGAAACTGAATATACTTTTTATTGCCACGTTTAGATAAAACTGCGGCGTTATCACAGTGTGTCGTAAAGGTTTTAGCCTCATACATACCGTTTCCCAGAATTGGAATCAAAATATCGCTTTAATCAATAACTAAATTAATTTGAAAAATCTCCTCTAATGACTATTGCTTTTGTTTTATTATTATGACATTCGTCAGTTAACAGGATAACTCCACCAGCATTTGTTTGATCGGGCCTTCACTAGATTAGAGGTTATAACGTGATTTGCAGCATTTTTATTATGATATTAGTCCAGAAAATACCGTCGTATCTGCTCTGAAAATATTTTGATTCGGTTTTTTGCATAATAATGATATTAAGAAGGGACCATACATGTTCTTTCCACGGCTATTTATACCGTTATCGCTGATGTGTCCTACATGATGTCGAGTCCTGGGTGATGTGGCTGGTCGGTGGTCATGACGAGTTCTTCTGGAGGTCTGCCCTGGTTGTTCCAACCGTAACGTCTTGGTGCCGCTGATAATAGGCTCCCATGTAGGTTTGAGTTCTGCGCTGGCATTACTATACATGTTGGTGTTGCTAGATATGTAATCTGCCTCCCTGAATGGTCGGCGATACCAGTGTGCTTTTTTAACAAGCTTTTATTAGCTTGGCCTGTATGTATGAATGTATGTATGTATGTTACGGAATCTTTGAACATTATGATTATTAGGATCGCCAGGATAGATAAATTCTTTTATCGATATGTAGGGGAGTAAGACAGAGCAAGTGCGCGATCTGCGCATGCGTGCAGTTTTGGACTTACTCCTTGTTGATTTGGGCACTCGGTACAACACAACGGAGGCAGAAACTTTTTCAATTCTCACCGTGTTCATTGCGAATGTTGCCATTAATCCTGAGTTTATCTAAGCTCGCGACTGTTTGCTGCTGGACAAGGTTCTTGATCTTTAGACGGTATCCGGAGTGAAGCACTTGATTGCTCCAAGTTAACAGGAAAAATCCCATGCAACAGTGAAGCTTTAAATAAAATGACTAGATTACGAAATGATTCGTAAGATATTTTAATACCACATGTCCACAAAAAACTAATTGATAAATCGAACCAAAAAAGAAAAATAAATAATAGTTTAGAAAAACAAAAAAAAAACTTAATTTTATTATACTTTTATTTTGAGGCTATCAATAATTATGATTGATTGTTCGACCATCTACTACTGTAATATAAACTCTTTGCAATTAAAAATTATTTTCTACTTCTTAGTTCGGTTAGCTATAAAAGCGTGTTTTTTAGTTTTTTAAACTATTATTTGTTACGTATTCTGCTATCCCTGGTTTCTCCGTTTCGGCCCGTTGAGAGTGAAGTCAGTGCTCCTTTATCCTCAGCCAATGAAATCAGGGAACCGTTGTGAAATAAATCTTTTGAAACGTCTACATTGTCGAAAAAACCATTTTTGGAATGTGTTTAAAAAAATTCTTCAGACAACATTGTTGACGCAACATGCAAATTTAAAAGAGCTCCTATTTTAATAATACTAATCAAAAAAGCGAATCGAAATATTTTTCCTGAACTATACAGCCTGAGTTAACCTCCTGTAAAATCGTTGACCTAAAATATAAACAAAATAACAAAACAGATATTTCTTGTCACCTCCTGACGAGAGAGTATTGTAATCACGAAAAATTTCGAAAATGAGATGATTTTTTATGTTACATACTATTTACACTTGGTCCCGTGGTGGCAGAGAAAAATGCGAAAAACAAACAAAATAAAAATCGCTTAAACCTCATTTTTTAACGTTTCTGAGGATCCTGATGGTTTTTGAAAAAATTTTCTGAGATAAAAATTTGGTGAGTGGGCGACTTGTGGTGAGGCAGGGTATATCGCAATTTTTGTATGTTAGTCTGTTAATAAACTTCCAATCCCGGTAATTCTATACCCCTATTAGACATACGAGGGATGTCTTTTAAGTTTTGCATATGGAAATAAAACAACACGGTAGGTAGCTTCAAATGAATTTATTGTTTTTCGAAGTATTCTCTACGAAGATTAATACACATCTGCATGCCCTCGAACCAATTTTCGAAGCACTTATTCCACTCGTTTGCTGGCAGATCCAAAAAAGGCATTTTTGAATGCGTCAACTGCTTTTTCTGGTGACTGGAACCTTTGGCCACGCAGTCTGTTTTTCATTTTCGGGAAAGTAAAGAAATTGTCAGGACTTAGATCGGGAATATATGGAGGATGGTCCAATAATTCCACGTTTTCTTCCGTTAAATACTGCCTTGTTTTTTGGGCTGTGTGCGAGCTTGCATTGTCTTGGTGGAAGATGATTTTTCTTTCGGGGTTGATTTTTCGAAGCTCGGTGATGACTTTTGGCAAACAAATGGTGGTATACCAATCCGCAGTAACAGTTCTTTGCTCATTAAGAGGAGTTGTTGCAATATGACCCGCTTTTGACACAAATGTCGCGACCATCTTCTTCGAAACACTTCGAGAACGGATGACTTTTGTTGGCTTTTCTTCACCTTGGAACACCCAAACAGCCGACTCGTTTATTTTCTTGTTCATAACAGTAAATCCACGATTCATCACCACTAGCAATGCTGTACACATTTTTTGGGTTTCCGGAATTGAAGCGGTCAAGCGTTTTTTGACACCAATTAACCCTGGCTGCTTTCTGCTCTTCAGTCAACAGGTGGGATATCCAACGAGAAACTAATTTTCTTACTCCTAATTCTGTAAAATTTTTTGAATTGAAGTTTTTGAGATCTTCAAGGACGTCTCAATCTCGCGATATGTCACATGTCTATCTTCAATGATGAGTTTGCGCACAGCATCGACGTTTTTCGTGGTGACTGCCGTTTTTGGTGCACCCACAATGGAATCGTCGCTAAGACTCGCCCGTCCACGTTTGAGTTATCCATACGAACGGGCAAATGTCGACTGATGTGGCGCTTCGTAGCCGAAAACAGACAGTAACTCAGCAAGGCATTCTTGTTGCGATAATTGTCTCTGAAAGTTGTAATAAATTATGGCGCGAAAATTTTCTCGATTGAGTTCCATTTTTCTGATGACTTGGTGACACTTAAAAATTCACTGTAGCGAGAACACTGCACGTATTATTGTGAAACTTTAAATTTAAGTTTACTAAAGAGTGAGGTTAAGATTCAGTACTGACGTTCGATCCGCGCGGCCTACTATGTTTCTATATGCAACACTTAAAAGACATCCCTCGTATTTTACACATCATAGATTTCTCCATAAATTTGCTCTTAAAATATTTTCAGCAGGTGGTTCGAGTAGCTGTTGGTCGCACTTTCGTACTCGGTTGTAAATATAACATCTTTGGTAGTGAATCCGAGGAACTTGTAGGTGGCAGACGGTGTATTGACGCAATATGCACATACGAGGTGGGCGCAATATTATCTATATATAGGGTTATATGGTTTTGTGAGGTAGTATCATGTAGTATATAAGTACGTATCAAAGTCTGTTATAATCACTTATCAAACATTGTTGCCAAAACGTTTTTTACACCAGAGCTCCCAACAAATGAGGTTACCGTGTACGAACTCGCTCATTACTGCAATATAAGGATTTTTTTATATGAAATAGTGCACTAAATGTTCTGACAAAACCTACGGTGTACTCGACGCCATTTTTTCAAGTCATTGAAGTGGATGTTTTTGGTTATTAAGTCAGGATATTCTAGTTTTTTTCAGTTTCGTTGATAACAGATCTGGTAACAACATTAACTCTGATAGTAACTTGGCAGCATTAGCTCTGCAGTCGTTAGTTTCAATAGTTACAAGTCTGGTGACGCAACTGTTGACGTATGTTAAAATTCATACTAAAATTAGACGATAGCGAAATCAACCTCAATTATTTCCATGCTTGCCAATCTTAGCAACTATGCCTAAAAGCTAGTGACGTAACTCCACATGTTCTGACGTCATATCAAAAACTATTTACACCAAAAATTAATTGAAACATTTGACTACCTATCTGACTTGAATTGCAGTCATACTCATTCTCAGCTATCGATTGCATACCGAAATACAAACCGAATTTCACAGAAGCGTTCCTAAGAAGTATACAGCAGTACGCGTATCGTGATAGTTGTATTGTAAACCTACCACTCACTAGCTGACAGTGAACCTAATCGCAATCATTTCCATAGTTGCCAGCTTAGGCGATAATGCCTAACTGCAACTTTATCAAAATTTGTGACGTAACTCAAAGTGTAATGTAAACATACTCACCACGTGCAGTAAGATCAGCTGACAGCTGTCAATGGCGGATTGTCACTCGTAACTCCGACAGGTTTCACCTATCAAAAAATTGATACGATCTCTAGGAGTGGCTAGCAATAAAGATAACTGAGGGACCTCCAGCGCGGTGTAGTTAATCTTTCTCTCGATTCGCGATTATAGCAAGCAAACTCTTGAGAGAGACTCGTTCTTGGGTACGATCGAGTTCGACCTGTGAAATATCTCACGGTGGTTCGCACAGCACAACGGGTACGACTCGCCGACCGCCATAGCACGGTCAAGTGTGGCGAAATTTATGAGGAGAAAACCAGACATACAAGAACACCTGATGGAAAAGTTGAATTCAATCAGTCAGAAATGCTGTTTATTAGAATAATTGAATCGGTCATTTCAAAAACCACTTGAATCCATTCCTTCAAAGTCTATATCCTTACATTGCATTGTTTGTCGCCAAATTGCGTAGTTTTAGTGCATACGTTTAACTCGTTTATCTACCAAAGTGACAGTTATGTATCAACATAATAATAATACTTACCGGTGATTATATCTACGTTTATTAAGCTTGTATCGCTCTTTGAAAATTATGTAAAAAGAACAATGTTTGGAAATCTTCTAACATTCCAATTATCTGCAAACTCTCGCACTTTTAAAAAACTACACCATATATAGAATCTAATGACAGAACTGTCAAAAACTTGACTTATATCAAGAGCATTTAGATCTTCACTACAGAATACAAACAAATCCTGCCTAGTCTGAATTCGTTGATTCCTTCCTATTCAAATAATCGACGTTCGTTGCGTGGACAACATAAATTCTAGTCTTTTAATTCCTACGCCACTGGCGAGGAATTATTGTAATCGCGAAAAATTGAAATGAGATAATATTTTTTGGGTGTTATATAATGTCTACATCACGAAAAACTATTGTAACTTATTTCCGTCAGTGTGTCTGCCTATCGGTCTGTATGTCCATGTCTGTCGGCCTGTTTAAAGTACCGTTCGGACTTTGATGAGATTTCCTCTCAAGGTTACTATGTCAAGGACGAAAAAGCTTTGTAGTATTTAAAAATCTATCCAGTGGCGGCGGAGCTTAGGCATAGAAGCTAAAAAAATAAATAATATAATATATGAAATAATAATTTAGTTTTTTGACGTTTCAGAGCCTCTGGATCATTTCCAGATTTTTTTTGTAGTGGTCGACAAATAGAAGTTGTAGGGAGTGGGGTATCAGTGACAGACGTTCTATCTATAAGAAGCTTCTGGCTCTGGTAATATCGAAAAACTAACAGTAGGATGCACGATCCTTTGACGCCCCGACGCGATAACGGCGTTCATGTTGTTCCTGCCTCGTCCTGCAGGCCAGCAGTGAGGTGCTAGATGTGTTGCAAAAATAACTATTCGTTACTCGAGTACTCGTTATTCATAGATACCCGAAGTAACGAGTAACAGTCCGAGCACCGAGTGATTACTTAGATTTTTCAGTTTTCTGTACCCGTACGCGTACAATTGTTGATCGCTGAGTGGCTGCTTCCTGCCATCTTAGGTATCACTGTAGCGCTGTCGCTCATGAATCAGGGCTTCTAGATATTTCACTTTCGGTTGATACGTCTAGACTAAGCTCCACCTAAGATCTCTTAATACTGGTACTTAATTGAAATGCCCATATCTTCGTAAAGTTACTTGCCATTCCTAATTTCCACAAACCTATATATAGATCAACTTCCTAACTAAAAAGACATACTTTTGATGCATCTCTAGTAAATATGAAATATTTTCAGTTTTCAGCTATACTTCGAAGTTGAGTCATTTATTTTAACAGTGAGTAGATCTGATCAAAAGAAATGTTTTTTTCCTTTACCATTTTTCTGGTAAAATTAAAGTAACAAAGTTATAGCCCTTTGGAAGTTTGAGTACCGCCCTGTCTCAATGTGCTCGTGTTTGGCGACAACGGATATAATCCGTCGTATCGGTTCATCGCATCGGAAACAAAAAAGCGAAAGAATTTGGAACGAATTATTTCATTCATTTGTATACAGTAAGTGTCAGTGAATAGTTGTATCTGTTGCGTGGCTCAAACGAAATAAAAAATGGCACATGTTTATGCGGATCGGTTTCCCAATCGAGTGCAACCAACCCCTCATGCCTTTGTTAATGTAGTACAACGGGCTCGTGAATCAGGTGACTTAAGACCTCACAGGGGACCTCACGATCAAATACAGGTCCGCACTGAAATACTTGTCGGGAGGATACTTTATAAAACAAGGTAAAAATTTTTTTTTAATTTTTTTTTTATTTTTACACACATATTTTGGTTTATATTCCTTCTACAATCATTATCTGAAAATTAATGACTCAACTTCAAAGTCACCCTGTATATGAGTCAGATGGTGACTCATCTCGTTTTGCATAAAATTTGAAGATACGATGTTGCATTAATTTTAAGGTTGTTCATTTTCTTTAAAGAAAACTAAAGCATAATATAGTCGTTCCATTGAAGTTGTTCGAATTTGACATTCGTCATTTATTACGTGACGCCCGTTTCCAAATAGTTATAGGCATACTACTCAAAGTAATCTAAGTAATCAAAGTAATCAAAGTAATCAAAGTAATCAAAGTAATCAAAGTAATCAAATTAATCAAAGTAATCGAAGTAATCGAAGAAATCGAGTAATCATAGTTATCATAGTTATCATAGTTAGTTATCATAGTTATCATGGTTATCAAAGTAATCACAGTTATCAAAGTAATCAAAGTAACGAATACAATAAATGATTGAAATGAATTGATGATTTGTATGAGAGATTAGTAACAAATAGTCGAAAGAAACTAGAAACAACAACTCTATCAGGTGCGATGGTGTCGGTGGTGGACCGGTGTTGAAGAAGAAATGGAAAGTTAAAGAAGTTGAAGAGAATGAGCCTGAATGTGCACCATGCTATAGTTATAGTTTTTTGATGATTCCTAATACATATATGGTATGTCATGATTCAAACAGCTAGGCGGTAATAATCTTGTAGAAGAGTGAAAAATAGTTTGAAAATATGTTTTTCCAGTATGACCAAACGTGGCCAAAACTTTTAGAGGATTCAAAACCTTAGTTTGTAAATGGTTTGATGCCGTTCTATTTTCTGCCCATTACTCCTCCGCCTGTGAAATGGCTGGCACTAGCTTCTGTGACACTACAAGATAAGTCATGGGAAAATGCTGCTAAATATCTTGGTGTCACTCTTGACAAGGGGATTATCAGGCAGAAGCGCACTGAAGCGTTAAAAACTGAATTCCACATCACGTTTCTGCAACTCTTCCCTATGCTATGTAGAACCTCAAAATTAGGTCTCCAGTGATACCCTTCATCGACACCTTGACATGCCTTATTTGAGGGACTACATCAAACAACAAGCGCAGCTACGTTAGAATGAATCAAGGAATCGCATATACCGTCGAGCAAGTTCGCAAGCACCCAAGACCGCGGCTCGCACTGTGAACAAAATTAAATCGTGCCACTTTAGATTCAACCAAAACTATGATTTTTCAATGTTTAACGACCAATCTCTAAATTATTTAGATTTAAAATTCTCGAGTACTAGCTAACAGTTCTTTCTCCCTGACTTTGTCTGGTATTTGGGCAACCAGTCCTGATAGACCTACTGGCTGACAATACTATAATCAAGAGTAAAGCTCCTACGGACCGCTCTCACAGACAATGCCGAATAGACCACAACATAGGCATAGGCATTTCTCAAATTACATGGTTATAAGAACACAGACAGACGCAGACTGACGTACCGATGGAAATAATTGACAAGAATTTGTGTGATGCATATGTCTTTAACTAACAAAAAACTTATTATATGAAATTTGAAAATGTAATACTTTCATTATTTATGGTGTCAAGTAAATTGAATTTTTACCTCCTGTACATTCATATGGCTTGATTGTTCGTACAGAGTAGTGGTGAAATACCTGAATGCTGAATCAATTTGGAAAGGCAGTTATCAATAAGCTCTATTTAAAGCTTCACCCCTCACTCTTCCCACAAAAGGTTGGCATACACCCCTGTTAGAAATGGCGCACCAAACAAGGATTTTATCTGTAAATTTCGCTTTAAATATTATTATCAAACATTGTCAGCTGCATTTCTCTACGTTGTCCTTATGAAATCCGTTGGCTCCCTCCATTTCAGAGTTACTCAAAGTGAAAATAATAATAAAAAAGTGTACCCGCCTCATTTGACGACAGCATCTAGGTATACGAAGCAGATGCGCTTGAGAGTATTTCGATATTTAAGGCTAGTCTTCCTCAATTTCAACGATATAGTACTCTTAGAAGATCTGTATTGATGAGCCAGTCTCCTTGTTGGCAGACCCACTTGATTTTTTGCTCTTCTCACCAATCTCTGTGACTTCTGTACAGTAAATGCACGAGGTCTTTTTGGGAAATTCAGACATGGTATTCCCTGCTCGCACTCCGCTATTGTTCGACAAATGGTACTGCGTGAAATGTTTTCATTCTGGAATATTTGACAGTATTCATCTTTGGGTACTCGCCCAACCAACTTGTAGATACTTTTTCTTATTTCTAATTTAAACGACATCCTAAAGCTAAAACTTCAAAATAGATAAATGTCAACTGACAGTAAAGTAAGTAAACAAATTGTTTCCAAAGGCAAGTAGATATTATTTTGTGGTTGGTTAAAATTAAAGCCAATAAATTTTGTGCCAAAACTTTTAGGACACTCGTTAATCGGCGTAATGCTGCTTAGGAAGTTTCGAAATTCAAAGTACTTCCAGAGAGATCTGACTTTATTTGTAGTGGGATTTCAAAATAACTTTAAGATTGCTATTTTTTCTCCTCTACGAGTACAAGATGCTATAATTAGAATTTCAATATGACGTTTCGTATCTTGTCCTCCAACATCAACTTGAAATTAGCAGTTTTAAATGAAGGCGTTGGAAGTATAGAGTCAGTGTACTTGACGCCATTTTAACACGCTTTTATAAGCTTGGCCTGTATGTATATATGTACGCATAATTTTCTCCATATTTCAGAAGTTTGATTAATTTGAAACTTCGCACACGTATCAAGGACCGATGATAATGCAATAATTTGATAACAGTTTTCCATTATCCTTATTAGGACCGCCAGGATTGATAAATTTCTTTTATAGATCCTCTGTGTTGGTTTGGGCATTCGGCACAACACCACGGAGGCAGATACTTTTTCAAGGTAGTGCATTCTCACCTTGTTCATTCTTTATATATATG